ATATATGTATGTATTTTAGATCCCATCTGAATATGTATAGAATATGTATAGACTGAATATGTATAGACTTTTTCCTTGTCACTAGTCCCTAGACAGTAACAGTGTAACAACTAGTTACATAGACTTTACACTGTATCAGGTATTACAAGTAACCTAGAGATTTAAATATGCAGGAGGATGTGCATAGTTACATGCAAACACCATACCGTTTTACATAAGGCACTTGAGGATCTATGGATTTGCTATCCATGGAGGTACCTGGAACCAATTACCCAAGGATTCCAAGAGACGACTGTGTTCACTTTGACTTCTTTAGGGTATAAGAATGAAACTGAGCTTCAGTAACTTGATCCACCTTCAGATAGTTTGAGTCCAAGTGTCCTATGTCGCATGTGGATAGCTGAGAGTCCCACAGTGTGGGGTGGGCAGTGGTACCCTCACAGGTCGGTCCCTTGCATCATTTGACCAGAAAGTTTATGTGTGTGTCGGAAAGGGGGTCCAGTATCTAGTGTTGATTAAATCACCTCTTTAAATGGACAGTGATTAGAAAAGAATTCTGCCAGGAAAACTGGATTCAGGTCAGCGTGGATTCTGCGAGTGACTCCTCTCCCCTGTACCTGGAAGAGTGGGTGTGGGGCAGATCTGATTGAAAGTCAGCCAGAGATTCAGGACTGGCAGGAAGCCCATCTGACACTTGATTACGAATTCACTTTCCTGAAGGATAACCTTGACCCTGTAGGTATTACACCTTGAGATCCGATGCTTTGTAGGAGTCGCTGTTAGGAAGACACTTAGAATCTAGATGGTAAGAACAAGCTGTAAAAGCTTTTTTAGTGATATTTAAAGTCACAGGATAGACCAATATGTCACAAAATCCTACCAAGCAATCAGTTTAGAAGCCTGCTTTTGAGGTTTCTGTGTTAGAGCAAAATTAAGAAAATAGATGTGCAATTGGGGAAATGCTATTTTCCCTGCCATGGCAGAAATGACCAAAATGATGCCTGTGAGATAAGGTGACCAGAGTAGCGGATAGGTTCGGGAGATGGCCAGAAAGCTTTTCTTAGTACTTGAAGAAGCTTGACAGGAGGTTTGTTAGACAGTTGGATAAAAGTACAGATGTTTCCAGGCTGATTCAGCTTAGGATATTTGCTAGATTTTGCGTCTACAAGAAATTAGTTGCAGAACTTTTTCTTTTCTTTCTTTTTTTTTTTTTTTTTTTTTTTTTTGTATTTTTTTTTTTTTTTTTTTGGTGAGCCACCAAAGGAAAGATGTACATGAGAAGAAGCATTCTCAACAGTAAAAGGCTTTACAGAATTACTAGCCAGTTACCAAGGATGATGTTTCACAGGGAGGAGAATGTACTCAGCATAAATAGTAATAGAGTAGCACTTCTATGGGGACCGATTCATAGTTTTGAGCCTGCATTTCAGGGATGGGCCTGTGTGACTGTGTTACTCGTAGGACATCTATGCAGGAAGTGGCAGACCCAGAAAGACATGACTTTTGACACAGGGACTAGATTGTTGTTTTCTGCTATTAAAGAAATACCTGAATCTTGGTACTTTATAACAAAAAGAGGTTTCTTTCATTCAGTTTTGGAGGCTGAGAGTCCAAGAGCAGGAAAGCCCATCTGTTTGGCCTCTGATGAGAGCCCCACTGACTGTGTCACCACTTGAGAGAAAAGGAGAAAGGAAATGACTGCAGGGAGAAGAACCAAGCATGTGGGGTGGCCTCGCTCTGTAAGGAGAAACGGTTGATTTTGGCTCACAGTTTGTAGAGGTTTCAGTCTGTCGTCTGCTGGCTCTGCGGCAGAGCAGCATGAGGACCCTGGAATAGGAGGTTTGCTCAAGGCACGCAGCAGGAAGTGGAGAGAGATCAAGGGATAGACGAAGGAGATTGACACCTCCAGCCATGCTCCAGGGACCTCCTCCTCTGACCAGGCTTCGCGCAGCATCACATTTAGTTATAAACTCATCAGTGGTGAATGTACTGATGAGTATCAAGCCCCCAGGATCCAGTCACCTCCCTGAACCCCCACCTATGAGTACCTGAGGCTTTGGAGGGTCATCTAGATATAAACCACACCATCACATGTCCCAGATTCCTTCTTACCTTGTCCTATTAAATTCCTGTTTCTGTCATATATTTTATAATACGGATGGTATATGAGTACAGTGGTCCATGCATATAATTTCTAAATAGAGATATATATTATTATAGGTGGATGCACATAACATTTTCACTTGTAAGGGCTCAAGGTGATTTCATTTGGAGACTATCGTACTATAGAAGGTAAAGGTTAAGCTACAGAATGATTCCGAGGTATGAGAAAATCGATGTTCTCTTTCAAATGATGAATGACCCCCAGAAAGTAAAAGTATTTTCATGAAACTGAGCATATTGTACAATTCATAATTTCACATATTACAGAAGGACATTGCTACTTTTCTTAGTAAGTTAGCAGATTCAAGCCTTCCAGATTGCTTTGCCAAGTAACACTGAGGGGTGTTCTTCATGGCCTTGTCCACTTTTACAAATACAAGTTTTGGTCACTCACATCATCTCAAGCAAGAGAGACAATTTTTCTGGAAGCTCTTGGGCGATGTTTCCGTTGTCTGGGTGCCTTGCCTTCTGCCCTCTGCTTTGTCTAGCATCAGAGTTTGAAGTGTTGCAAGGCTGAGCTTGGCTTTTTCTACTGAAAGCATTCCCTAGACACTCAGCTGACAGCCGATGTAGTTTGAACCAGAGAAGATTTTTATTTTATTGTGTCTATTTTACATTGAACTCTTCAGACCAGCGTATACCTGGTCTGAGAATGCATAGTCTAGGCAATGGCAGTTTTTAACCCAGAGTGAATTAATCCCCACAGAACTCAACGGGTCTGCTCAGTAATTTCCAGACAAGGCTAACTTAGTTACACTGGATGCACTGTCCCAGTTATTAATCTTATCAGCCAATCACTCACAACCTGTGTATAATTTTGAAATCCAATCTAAGGAACTAAAAAGTAAAACATTACATTTTAATGATTTGTCATTTCTCCCCTTCTTTCTTAGTTTCTTCTTCTTTTTTTTTTTTTTTTTTTTTATAACCAAGAAACATGTACTTTAAGTTGGAGAGCTATCAGGGCACTCATTAACTACTTGGTTGATTAATTAATCAGTCATTTAATTTTCCCAGTCTCTAGACAAAGTTGCACCTGCACAATCTTACATGAGTTGTTCATCTTTTTAAAGCTATATTATGGAGTGCTGTGGCTTTCCTTTTGGGACATGTTTGTCTCCTGTTTTAAAATAAATAAGCGAGATCTGTGTCCTATGTAGTGGCTCCACGAAATAAGTTTTTCTTCCCTGCTCACCTATTTGGTTCCTGCTTTCCCACCGTAGAGTCATCTCTATGGTGTATGGATGAAAGGACGGAAGCCCAGCAGGGACCAGTGACCAGCCCCAGGTCACCGGACCCTTTGCTGGGAAAGCCTGTAACAGAGTAGCCTGCCTGATTCTGGGTCTGCAGCATACCCTGAGCTGCAGTCTGGAATGAGAATTCGCATTGCCATTGCTTGGCTTGCCACCCTTCTTACACTTCCTCATCCCAACACTGGTTTAAAAATTAATAGCAGCTTAATGGGTGTTTCTATTTCCAAGCTTTAAGCCATGCTTCTCTCCTCCTCTGGTAGAAATCTGACATCCAGGACAGTGTCTGCTACAAGAACCAGCTCTACCAGATGGAAAAGTGCAGGGCCACCAAGGAGCCCTATGAGGTAAGTGAGCTTGAAGCAAACCCAGAGCTCCTGAGAAGAGCAGATTTACCAGCGTGGTGGCTCACATCTTTAACGCCGGCACGCTGGGAGGCTGAGGCCACAGGATCACAAATTTGAGCCCAGCTTGGACAATTTATCGATTTAGAGAGACTGTCTCAAATTTAAAAGTAGTAAAAGGGGCTGGGAATGTAGCTTACGTTCCAGGTCTTTGGTTTAATCCTCAATACATGTGTACAAAAAGAAAAAAAAAAAAAAAGATTTCCACTGGTGGGGAGGAAGCCAGTCACTGTGAGACATGGCAGTACCCATAGAGACCCTTGTAATGGAGCCCTTGAGAACTGGCTTACAGTGAAGCCACCATCTCCAAACCGCAGTTCTCACTATTGCCACACTCAGTCACCCAGGGCATTCATTGCAGTGTCTCAGTACCCAGGCTGTGCTGTGGACCAATTGTATCTGTTCACAGGAGGCAGGACTTGGGGTCGGTATTTTGTAAAGCTCTATGGGTGATTCCAGGGAGCAGCCAAGGTTGGAAACCCCTGTCAGAGCTCCAGAAGGTGAAAACAGTGTGCTCAAAATATAGCTGAACATCACGCTTCTTGTCATCGAGAAAAGAGAAAGTAAGGAGCAGGGAAAGCCCTACATGAAAGCAGGGAAGGTTCCAGAAGAAAGCAGGCTTCTCTACTCACTGAGTTCATGTTACCTAGAACACACCCGAGAGAAAAGCACTGACCTTCTTTAATTTCAGAATAAAACCTTGTGTCCTGTGGCAGACTGTCACAGCTCAGGACCCCCGATCCATGTGTGTGAAGAGATTGTCTCTGAACTCCAGATTCAGGGCCAGGAGTGCAGGGCCTCCTGAGTACCTCGGTCAGGTGGGGTCTCCTTTCTCAGTGACTTTTCCAGGGAGCTCATCCCCATTCCTCCTCTGGAACCTCTGTCCTGTCCCCCGACACCCTATCACAGGCTTCTCTGCTTGGACACGCAAGAATTCTTTTATTGGAGGAGAGATCATCACGCCCTGGCCACTTCCCTCTGTCCTTTTCCAGTGTAAAATTTTCACCCTAGTCATACAAGTCCTGCGGGAACAATTCACCCTCACATTCACTTGATGTGGAAACGCCATGACCTCAAGTGTGTGGAGCTGAGCGTGAAAATGGAGCTCAGGAAAGGGGCTAGGAACTTGAGGCTGGGGCTGGAATTCCCTTCTAGACAGAGCCTGGAGGCGGAGGAGGGGAAACCAGCAAGATGGTGGCATGAGTGGCCAGGGATGGGTGCCCGGGAGACCATGGGAACAGAGAAGAGGTTGCGTGCAAAACTCAGCAGAGCTGGCCAAGCAGTTGGCTGTCAGGAGAATGTTCGGGGGCCTGGCTTTGTAGGAGTGGAAGAGGCATGGATCGGGCTGAGAGGGCAGAAGAGAAGCGAAGTCAGTGAATGCCAAGCCTCTCTGTCCTTCACACTGGAGGGGAAGAAGAAAGAACGACTTCCATGGAAGGATCCAAAGGGTTGAGAGGACAGAGGGTGGGGGGTGGGATTCCACTTCCTTCCCCAGATGGCCCTGGGGCACCAGCGGACAGATTGAAGATGAGCTTTTCGGGTGAGCAGAGCCTCAAGCCCATGGGTGGCTTCCACACTGCGTACGGGCTGGTGGGGTGGTAGAGGGACTCCACTGTCCCTGGGCTTGAGACCCCTCTGGCCAGTTCCTACCCCATGGTGACCTCCTTTTGCATGAGCACAGATGTCTCAAATCTAGCACGCCCAGAAAGAAGCTGTCAGTGACAGCCCCATCCTCCCTGGGGTGGAAACTCAGGAGTCTGGGAAGCTCATTTGTCCTTTGGCTGCAGAGCCAGCCCTCCCCGCAGTTCTGCTGCCTTCGCTCCTAAGCCCAGAGCCCTCTGCTGTCTCCGCGTCCATCCCCCGGGGCCCTGCCTCTCCCCTGCACCTCTTCTGTGGCCTCTTAAGCACCTCCGCTTTTCACCCCTCCTGTCCCTGCCCCACTTGAAACCTAGCAGGCTCTGTGCCCCGGCCCTCTGTCACAGCTCGTGTCGCAGCTCCACACCCAGCCCAGGCTTCCAGTGCTCCCTCTGCTTGTGGGGCTGTGCACACGCTCTCCCCTCTTCCAGAATGTTCTCCCCATGCCCCTTTGCTCAGCCAATATCCACATGTCTTTAGATTCCAAGGCAAAGTCAGCTCCTCATGGATCCCTGCTTACCCTTGACCTCTGCCACCACATGCCATCTCTCCAGGCTGGTTGTCACACCACGTTGTACCTACAGGGATGGTCCTGGTAGCAGATTCTTGTTTGCTTGAGTATCACACCTCTCTTCCACTGTGGACTGTGACTTCCACGACAGCAGGGATCAACTCAGTAGCCTAGAGCCAGCACGATGTCCAGCAGCGACATAGTAGGTTGTTCGCGTACAGTGTTCATGGACAGCACCTGTGCAGTGCCTGCCCTACTGAGGCCGGGGTGGCGGGCAGAGCTCACTGTTGGGCTCTTCTACCTCTTGGTTTGCATTCCAGTCAAACGTAGCCACAGTGAATGCCCAGTGTATGTGCTCTGTGTGCCTCCCTCCCACCTTGCCGACACACCTGTCACGCTCAGCTACACAACCCTCTCACCCAGCCTGTGCAGCTGTGTGCTTGAAAGTGCCAGAACCCTGAAGGGAAAGGGCCCCTTCTTTCATTCAGATTCTTTTTCTCTTGATGGTTATTTCACTTGGCCCCAAAACACATGGTGAACGTTTTAAACATTTATTAAAATATTGCACAGTTAGGATTTAAATAGGAACACTAATGGGCAAACAACATTTCAGTTTTCTATGATCCATTTGTTTTCTCCAAACTGCAGCAGTGCTGCTGCTAATTAAGTCACGGGCTATTACGAGACACCCCCCACCCCAC